TACCCCTCCCTTTCCCTCCCTCCTCCCCCCTCCCTCCCCCTCCCTCCCCCTCCCCTCCCCCTCCCCTTTCCTCCTCCTCCTCCCTCCTTCCCTCCCTCCTCCCTCCTCCCCTCCCACCCCCCCCTCCCTCCCCCTCCCTCCCCCTCCATTCCCTCCTGTCCGACGTCGCCTCTCTCCGCTCACAACAGCACGCGATAGCTCCTGTCCTCTATCACCTGCAGACGACAGGGCGAGGGCGGCTATCAGTCCTCCTCCTCCTCCTCCCACGATCACCGCCCGCGTCCTTCCCTCCTCCTCCTCCGTCCGCAACCTGCCGTCCATTCCCCTGATCCTGCAGTCGCTTCACAATTATCAGCCCGCCGGGCCAGTGACCGTCACCCGGTGACCCGGCGCCGCCGGGGCCGGGCGGCGCCGGGCGGGAGTCAGCGCGGCTGGGCCGCATCACTGACACGCCGCGGCTCACTCAGTGAGCGGCACCGTAGCCGTCCCTCATCGACCAACTCAGTTCGAGTCTCGGTCACTGTACGGTCCCGGCTGCTTGCTGAGTGCCACCGTCTTTGCACGTCACACGTAGTACCGTAGTACGGTAGGCTTGATTCGACATCTCAAATTCTGAAGGCTAGTCGGTCGGCCCGGAGTGCCCGGCCGCGCTGACTGAGCCTGAGCACGCCGGCGGTAAGACCGGCTGCCGCTTTCCGAGGGCCCGGAGTGATAGGCCGGGCCGGGCTGTGACACCACTGGCAGTGGATACGCTCCTACTAGCCCGCTCAGTCTGGCAGCCCGGCCACTTACTGCCCTGGCAGTACTGAGTAGTGACTGGGCCTGAACTTCCCGGGCCGCCGCAACCGTTGACTCGAACTCCGAGGCTCAGCTCGCCGCTGCACTGACGGTCCCGGGCCCGGGCGCCGGGGCCGGGCCGCTCCCGGAGATTCACCCTCATCCCCACCTTGACCAAGTGCTGCTGAAAACAAACTTCACCCGACCCCCTACCCCCTTGAAACCTCAACAAAGTTTTACCCACCCCTACCTACATGTGATGGACCTCACCTTCAAATTCGACCACCCCCTTGTCACAAGCTCCATTGGCCCATCCAACCCCACCCACCCTATCAAATGGCTACAATTTTTCTCCTCAATCATACAAGACCCCTACAATCACGAACCTACCCCTTTCAAATATACAATAGGTCCTCTGCAAGTACCAGGTACTTTTCAACTCATACCCACCCTATGTGTATTTTCGGACTGAACTAGATGTACACCCGTGTTTAATCACCACCCCTTTGGAAATACCTTGCCTGACCCACTGGCCCCCTTAAATGTCGTTGCTGTACCCCTGGTCTAGACACTACCCTACCCTCGTGGTTCGAATTACACCCCATCAACAGTAACCCCTACCCCCTGACTTCCACCCCCTCCCTGCCCCCGTCCCCCATGATCGACCTTTGTCGGGCAAGCGATCTGTACGCAGTACACGGTGTGGAGGAGCAGGAGGAGCAGGAGGAGCAGGAGGAGCAGGAGGAGCAGGAGGAGAGATAATGCACTTGGTAGTATATCGCAGCGTTGAGAAACTATAAGACTTGTTAGAGGGGAAGTCAGCAGTGAGATCAGAACTGGCGTGGAGAATGGTATCAAGAAACCAGACCTGTTGAACGGAATGAAGGTCATTCGAATAAGACGAGAGAGATCAAGATGTTGTTTGTCAGAATATCATGAGGTGTAGTCTCATGCAAGCTTTTGTGATGCCTCGACGGTGAAAGAACCTGAGGTTAACAGAATTAATCTTCAAACAAAGCGTCAGTCCCAAGAGCAAGTAATGTACTAACAGAGTTGATACAGCGCGAATGCTTGCCAGTTGCTAAGGCTTCCACTGTCTAGGTTCCTGGTGCAGCTAGGATCGCTGGGAATGTGAGGAGTAGGGAATGCTGAGCATGTCGTCAGTGCTCAAGGCGGCATTACAAGGTCAATCCCTGATAGGCGAAATGTCGTGAGTGTATGGCGATGGCACGCGATTGGAGCAAGCACACACCTGCTCATATCATCCTCCTCGTCCTAGTCGAGTTGTTGACCCCCAGGAGAGCAGCGTCTTACCTCCACCATGGCCAGGGGTTCCCTCCCGCATGGTCGTTGCTTGCTAGCTCGCCACTGTGCCAGAAGCTGCTCCCTGCATCATGGCGGCTGAGGGACGGGCGGAGAAGAAGCGGGCGGGGCTGCAGGCGTTGGATCACATCGCAGTTTGATCAGGGAAGAACAGCAGCAGCAGCAGGGAGGGGGACGGGAGGAGGAGTGGAGGAGGAGGACGCCGGTTTCTATGAGGAGAGCAGGGCCGTGGGGGAGTACCCGTCGTCAGTAGAAGCGTACCTCAACTCGCTCTCCCCTAACACTCGCGCAAGACCAAACGTCTGGGGTGAGCGGACGAGTGAAGGAGAAACAGATGAAGCCAGAGGTGAGCTTCTCGTCCTCGTCCTCGTCCTCGTCCTCGTCCTCGTCCTCGTCCTCGTCCTCCCGTTGCCTCCTTGCTCACTCTGCCACAGCAGCCTCCAGCTTCACTGAGGTTGGGGAAGATTTGCGGCAAGAGACGGAAAGAGTGAGTGAAAGTTGTGAGGCAAAGAAACCTGACGGATGAAG